AAAAAAAAAAAAAAAAAATCAAGCTGTAAATTGGACGAGAACAAGCCACCTTGTGCTTAGAGCTCTCTCTCAGGCTGCCTGAAGTTTCCATGGTCCAGGTGTGTTTCAACTCTTTTTTTCTGCTCCACCGTTGTAAAAACGAATGCCCTTTCTTTGACATTAGTGTTCTATCACCCATTCTCAACTTACTTACTTGAAGTCACATTATTGCTTCTCAATCCAGAGTTTCACATATACATCTTATGCATTATTTATGCGCTACTGTACTAGAAACACATGAATAAAATGGTATTATATATCATTATGCTCAAAGTATCCTGAAGGGAGGAAAAGGTGTGAAGAAGCAGCAATGCGCTTCATGATAGCACTGCACTTCTAGTTTTGAAGGTGAGGCAAAGCAATTCACAAACAGTTTCTTGCTTTTAATGACTATATGTATAACCCAATCTCAGGAATTTTCACTACTAAAACTTAACACTCATTTAAAAACAAGCGAAATGCAACCGAGCGACAATTACTGACCAGGCTAGTCACCATTAGAGGCAGTCAGGAAATGCTGATGGGGCAAAAAGCAGCAACGTTTTGTGATAATTTTTGTACGCAACCTTCTCGATTCCTAGGATGTTTCCTAACCATCACCTGATATGCCTATATTTCAAAAAATTCTTGGCTTCAAAGTAAGGGTGCTGAGTTGTGTGAGCTAAGCATTTGATTCATATGGGAATGAGAATGTGATTTTAGTTCAAAATATGAATCTGAAGGATCCCATTTGGAGTTTTCAACTTGTAGTAGAGGGAATGAAGTCCACATGCTTGTCCCATGTGCCCAGAGACTAACAGGATATTATGTAGGGAATTCCTGTTATGGGCTCCAGTGTAGATTAAGTTGTGTTTGTTCTTGATTTCTCAATCAAATGAAGTGAGAGCTGAACTGGTGATAGTACCAGTGGGGTTTCCTCCCCCCAAAATTTCCTAGTATATGCAAGGCTTAAGAGCCTCCTCCTTTGCTGATCTCTTATGCAGACGCTCAGTCTTCAGTATCTAAACTGACAGAACATGCATCCTTCTACGTGGAGGAGAAAGTGGAAATCAATACACAATGATCATCAAGATCACATATCAGATTTAGAAGAAAGCAACAATTATTAGAGCCTCATGGGAACACGTACAAAAACCTAGACAACCAAGACAAAGTGTTTTAAAAGTGCAGGTGGCCAAGGCCGAGTCTGAGAGAGAGCTTCCTTGGACTTACCTATGGTGCAGTTTGTGGTTATTTTTCTCCGCTTGGGGTTGTGCCGTAGCAATTCTAATTCTCGTTTGGTTGGCTCCCATGTTGAATACTTCTCTCCAATGCCTAAGCAGATGAAAAGAAAGTTTCAGGGGGCTGTTAACCAACACAGTGGAAAGGATACTTGCAAGTAAAAGTTGCGATGCACTGTCCATTAAGTTGGATTCAGAAGACATATGAATAGCACAGCTGACTTGCTTTGCATTGCTGTTTAGAAAGGCCGCAATTGACCTTGACAATATGTTACCATAAACAATGGTTAAAAGCACCTTAATAAGCAGTTACTTGCATAGAGGAATTCTTATCTATCCCCAAGTAATATTTTTCCACTAATGGGTTAAAAAACCCCTCCAATTAAAAAGAATGCTACCCTGAAGGCTAATCCAGTATTAGTTATTGTTTCAAGCAGCCATGATTTTCCTCAGGCTCAAAGAGGTCATACCGCTAGCATAACCTCACATCTTGGGCCTAAGCGTAGATGGTTGAGAAACTGAGCAACTTGGATAAATATCCCTACATTGCTTCAACGACACTTAACTGACGAGACAAACAAACCAAATTGGATCCAACTTACTGGACAGCGGCAGTCTTAGTCTTAATAGATGCAAAGCAGAACTTAGTAAATAATTTAGAGGATACTAAATAGTGTATTCTTAGATCACATATTTTAAGGTACGCTATTATAAAACACCTCCTCTCCTTAACTGTGGATATTAGATACTGGCAAGCTAGAAAGACTCCAATAGAGTGAAGCTCACGTACTCTAACATTATCCGGAAATACTGAGATAAGTATTGTAATGTTTTAACTATCTTCTGCCCCAGGGAATATCTTGTTACTTGAGAGCTGTAGTTGAAATTTGTCAGGGTGATTTTTCACTTATAAGACAAGCCCAAATGCTATTTCAAAAACATTTATTTTATGTGAGGGACGGGAGAATGGGGCAAATCACAACAGCAAGGTATAAAGAGAATAGATTAGATGTGGGCACAGAGGTGTGTTCAGTCCCAGCCTGCAGCAAGAAAATGACAGCAGCCAAGATCCATGAGCTGACCAGCTATGAGCTGCTGCAGCGTTCTATGCACCAAAGAGAAATTGCTATGCAAGGCCAGTTATAGCAAGTCACAACAACATTTTGGCATTAAAAAAGGACAGGCAATCTATTCTAAAACTGAGGATTAAAGTCAATTAAAGTTCATCTTATTCTCAGCAGAATGCATACTGCTGAAAAAGTACTGTACTATAGGAAGTAAATTATATACACAAAAAGAAGAGGAGCAGAAAATATAGCTGAGGGCTTACACATTCTGCATGATATACATTAAATTTTAACAGCTCTTTGATCTTCATTTTCAGAAATAGCTATGCCCGTCAGGAGTCACCCATCCAAAATGTTTGAGTCATAGTTAGTCTTGACCTGCTAGGTTGCTATAGTAAGTGAGGTCTCACTCTTCGATACATAAGGATAAGAGAGTTCACATCTATATAGATGTATAAATCTTTTAGCTTAATTTGACTCAACAGTTTTTGATGCAACCTTTTTGCAAGGTTCTGCACTAAGCAAAACAAAAACCAGGAAAATAAAAGGGGAAACCAATTATCATGCAACAGATTAATGAGATTAAACAGCTGCAATGCTTTGAATACACTATACAGTATGCATAGGCAAACGCTGAATGAAGCAGCATTACAGAGACACACATATGGACAGTCCACATATGACAAAACATTGGCTGGCAACAAGCTTTTCAATAGATGCCTTCAGCAATTTTTTTCAGATTAACCAAATTCCTACCGTAATCAATACCAACTGTGTTTGCAAGCAAACTAGCAGTGCTTAATACTATGTCCAACACATTCTTACCACCAGCTACTTGATTGGCAAATTGTAACCTCAAAAAGTCTAAAAATCGTTTGTACTTTAGTTCATAATATGACCAAGCCAACTTAGAATAACTGATCTATCAACAGATGCTCCATAAGGCTTCCATTTACTGTCTAATGGGCCTCAGGACAAAATAAACACATTCAATATGTACAAATGATGATTTATTGGGCAAGACTAAAGATATATACAATAAAGTTCCAATTCTGCAAGCACGCACATACTTAATGTTATGAATCTGAGTAGTACCACAGAAGACAATGGGACTGCTCATATACTTAACGTTAAGAGTGCTGCCTAAGTGAAGGCAGGATTCTGGATCAACTGTTTAATAGCACATTTGCACCCTGAAGAAAGAGTAAATGCAACAGATTTGATTGTTTTACAGGACTCTGGGTGAAACAATTAAGTCTAGTTTAAGCAGCAATTTAAAAACACACAGAGTTAATGCCAAAACAAACATCAAGAGCAAAACAGGAATGACATCTCCCTTGCAAAGAACCTCAGAGAAAGGCACAAGCCTTGTCAAGTCAGTGACATTAACTTGGAAAAAGTAAATGTCCTTTCCCCTTCCTGTTGTAAAATTTAATAAGAAAATTGAGGCTTTATTCTTCCTTTAAGAATTGGAGAAATTTCTCCCAATCTTTTGCAGCGGTTCAAGGTTTTTCCAGAAATATGTACTAAGAAAATATCCAAGAGTGGCTAAAATCTCCAACATTTCAAATAGATAGAAATTTTCAATTCATCCACAAATTACCATTTAGGATTAAGGGAAAGTACTGTTGTTATTGAAAAGAAAACCCACTGCTTTTAAAATGCTCCTTTGAAGTAGCCAGGCCTGTAACTTGGCAGATGAAATCTCCATCCAGAAACTGTTTTGAAGTTTATTCTGATATTTTATAAACAGACAAATACCCAGATACGGATAGTTTTCAGGGGTTTTATTCTCGTTTTCAAAAAAGTATTAAAAAAAAATCCCACTATACAAGAGGTCATTAATAATACAACCAGACTACTCCATCCATATTCTCCTCCTCAGTATTACAAAGGAAAACATTTAATACCTGAACATGGCAGAATTAATAAAATTTTACTGCTCATAGTTGCGTCTCTGAATTGAAGATTTAACAGTGAACTACAGGTGAACTTGGGGGTTCAGCTTCCTGCCAGGATCTCCTGTATTCAAGCATTTCCAGCTCTTGAAGCTCTAACTTTGAAAGTCACAAGATTTGGGGCTTTTCTTAAAGTCCATTTCCTGGGCATTGTGTAATTACATAAAGCATTTATGCAAAAGAAAAGTTTCTAGCCCCCATGACTATGGGAGGGAAGGGGGGAGCTTAAAATTTAAACTCTAAAGGTTCAAAACTCAAAAGAAAATTGCAGGGGGGAGGAGGGACATTTTATTACTTTTCATATCTCAGAATTCCTTAAGTCAGTTGCATCAGTTTTGCATGCCTGACTCATGAGTTTGAACCTCTGCACTTGGCAGCATTATTATACTGGGGGGGGGGG